AACAGAAGTTCTCATTTTGGCCTGAGAACCCATTTACACTCTTAAAAATTATCAAGGAACCCAAAGAGCTTTTGTTAATCTGGACTACATCCATCTATACTTATAACATGAGAATTAAAACTGCAAAATTAAAAAACTTTATTAATCCATTTTAGAAAATGAATATTCCCATTATATGTTACTTTAGATAGCATACTTTAAGGAAAAATAGCTATATTTTTCAAAACAAAAATATGGCATTGTTTACCTTTTTGCAAATCTCTTTAATGTCTGGCTTAATAGAAGACAGCTGGAATCATACACTTCTCTCTGCACTCAATCTGTTGCAATATTTTGGTCAAAGAATGTGAAGAAACTCCTTCCTCACACAGATAAGTAGAAAAAGGAAGAAATATTTTCATCTTTTAAGATAATTTGGGGGTATTTTGAGTTTCTACACCCAAACTCAACAAGTGGTATGTTTAAAGGTTAGTACAATGTGGAATCCAAAACCCTATCAGTGAATATTTTATATTCGGTGACATTAAAATTCATCAGTTTGGCATGTTTTCCAACACCAACAACCCTTTCTCTGATTCTCTACACACCAGTTGGCTGTCCTACAATTCAATTTAATCCTGACACTAACTACCTGGAGTTACAGTCAGACCTCACAGGTTCAGGGCTCAGTCTCACAAGACTTCCCTCACTTCAGATGAAAGTTGCAAGAAGTGGGTCCCCAGATTACCCCAATTCTTTCCAGCTTGGCTATAAATCGGGGGGTTCCATGACTCCCTCCCTCTTGTTTGGTAATTTGATAGAACAGCTCACAGAATTTGGGAAGACAGTTTATGTTCTACTATGTCCAGTTTATGTCCTGTTATAAAGGATACAACTCAGGTACAGTCAGATGGCAGAGATGCATGGGGCAAAGTAAGTAGAAAGGGTGCAGAGCTTCCATGCTCTCACTGGGCACACCATTCTCCCAGCACCTGAATGTGTTCACCAATCTGGAAACTCTCTGAATTCTGTGGTCTAGGGGTTTCCATGGAGGCTTTATCACGCAGACATGATCCATTATTAACTTCATCTCCAGCCCCTCTCGTTTCTCCAGAGGACGGGGTATAGGGCTGAAAATTGCAGGCTTCTATACAAGGCCTGGTTTTTCCAATGACCAGTCCCCATCTGAAAATATTTAGGGGCCCAGCAAGAGTTGCTTCATTAGAACAAAAGACATTCCTATCACTCAGGAAACTCCCAAGGGATTTAGGTGCTTTATGTCAGTGTATTAGTCTGTTCTCACACTGCTATGAAAAAATGCCCAAGACTGGGTAATTCATAAAGGAAAAAGGTTTAATTGACTCACAGTTCTGCATGGCTGGGGAGGCCTCAGGAAACTTACAATCTTGTGGAAGGCACCTCCTCACAGGGCGGCAGGAGAGAGAATGAGTGCTGAGCAAAGGGGGAAGCCCTTTATAAAACCATCAGATCTTATGAGAACTCACTATCAGGAGAACAGCAGCACAGAGGTAACTGCCCCTAGGATCCAATTACCTCCCACGGGGTCCCTCCCATGATACGTGGGGATGATGGGAACTACAGTTGAGATTTAGGTGGGGACGCAGCCAAACTATATCACAGGAACCAGGATCAAAGGCCAAATACGTATTTCTTATTACACTACAATTGGCTGATCACTATACAATATTCTTTTACAACTAGTTGTTAGTACTACTTCTGATCTCATCAGAAAAATCTTTAAATATTGGGAAGCTGTCAAACTTACAGTGATGGATCTGGGTTTTGCAAAATCTGAAAGCTCATTTGAAAGCTTGAATGTTATCACTGGCAATGTTTTTCTTGAAGTGACAAGCTCATGTCATTCATTTTGGAGGAAATGTCTGCCAAATGCCCAAATCTGACTCACTGCAGTTTGTCTGTCAGTTCTGCTTTCAAGTAAAAATGGTGGTCCATAAAACAGAGCTGTAGCTTGTGCATTGCAGGCCATTGCACAAGAGCACAGCCTTCAGCAACCATCATCCTTGGAATGCAGCAGAAGTGTTTCTGTGCATTTCCCACCGTGTCCCGAGGGGCATGACTGCTTCACGGGGGACATTCTTCACTGACACTTTGTGTTTGCTTTTATTGCAACAGCACGGTGCTGAAGGATGCAGTTACTACTGATTCGGTGTTGTTCCGCCGCTGGGATTTGTGCTTACTTTTGAACAATCAGAGCAAATGTCTACATTGTAAAGGGGACAAATAATGTCCCAATACAACCATGAAAACAGTTTTGTCACTGCAGATCCTCCAAAAGGATGTTGGAGACGCCTAAAGATCCACTTTTTGGAGATCACTCTTTGAGAACTGCTATTTTAGAAACAATCCTCCTGCTATCAAGACTAAATATTTGGCTCACATGTGTAATCCCAGCACTTTGGGAGGCCAAGGTGGGCAGATCACTTGAGGTCAGGAGTTTGAGACCAGCTTGGCTAACATGGTGAAACCCCGTTTCTACTAAAAATACAAAAATTAGCCGGGCGTGGTGGCATGCACCTGTAATTCCAGCTGCTTGAGAGACTGAGACAGGAGAATCACTTGAACCCAGGAGGCAGAGGTTGCAGAGAGCTAGGATGGCATCATTGCACTCCAACCTGGGCGACAGAGTGAGATTCTGTCTCAAAAAAAAAAAAAAAAGACTAAATACTAATATTTTCCTAGAAGTTCATTTATAGGAAAAAAAGAGGAACTAGAATAATTTGGAAAAACTCCCCCAAAAAACCCTCAGTTACCTTAGTTGTCAATGTGTAAGCTTCTAGAACAGACTCCATCTTTTAAAGTTTTGAACAGTATCTTAGGAATGCAGTAACAACAGTGACAATAGTGTGTGTTTGTTGCAATGTTTACTACTGGGGGACAACTGTGCTTTGTACTTTAAATGCATCCTCTCCAATATTCTTTAGTACCACACTTTTTGTTGTTGTTGTTGTCTTTTTTTGGAGTTTTGCTCTTGTTGCCCAGGCTGGAATGCAGCGGTGAGATCTCAACTCACTGCAACCTCCGCTTCCCGGGTTCAAGCGATTCTCCTGCCTCAGTCTCCCGAGTAGCTGGGATTACAGGCACATGCCACCACGCCTGGCTAATTTTTTTTGTAGTTTTAGTAGAGACAGGGTTTCTCCATGTTGGTCAGGCTGGTCTCGAACTCCTGACCCCAGGTGATCCACCTACCTCCGCCTCTCAAAATGCTGGGATTACAGGCATGGGCCACCGTGTCCAGCCTAGTACCACACCCTTTATAGATGAGAAGACTGGGACACAGACAAATGAGAGTGTGACAAGGTCACAGCCGTATGTGGTGATTAAGGCTCTGAATCCATGTGGTCTGATTCCCAGAGCCTCGATCCCTAAATCCTGCATAATATGCTGCATCACATCTAAGCTTCACATTTACTTACTTCTTTTCTGCCATGCATGTGCATTGGTTCAAATCCTCAAAGGGAAATGCAATGTCTCATCTCAACCACAGGGCCCAAAAAAGGGGCTCAGTAAACATCTTTAGCATGAGGGACAGAATCTTTAAACCATGATTAGTAATGGTGCTAGAAGTGAAATACTCAAACAGCCAGCTCCTTCAGTATTATTAACTCATTAAGGAGGGAACCAACGGAAAAAAAAAAAAAGGGCTTGTTCCTTAAAAACTTTGATGAAAATTGTGTGTGTGTGTCTGTATACATACACGTATCTATTTTACTTGTTTGCTAAATAGACACAGATATACTCAGGTAGTTAACAAACATGTAGGTCGTATAAAAATAAAACTAGTTTACCTTCTTTTGGGCAATAAAATCCCAATACCTTTGAGGTTGACTCAGGCCTTATCCATTTCTGCAGGTTAAGAAGTTACAAGTCTTCAGGTCTGTAAACTGTTGAGGCCGTTATCATTGTCCTTCATTAGTCCACTGTACCTGGACAACAGTGACATCTCTAAGACAGGCAGCCAAGGGGGTTCTTTAACGAACAGAACGTCCCCCTTTTATTAAGCAGACTTATTAGAAAATGCTAGAAGTTACCCTTAACGCAAGCAAGTGGCCTTTTTCCAAGTCCGGGGATTTAAGAAATTTACTTACCTATTTTTTGCATTTTTCCAAGGTGGTTTTTTTTTTTTTTTTTCGTGTGCGTGTGGGTTTGTTGTTGTCGTTGTTGTTGTTTTGGTTTGGGTTTTTGCCTTTTTCCAAGTTTGGGATTTCTTTTTTTTTTTTTTATCTCATAAAGCAAACCTGTTTTCTGGATGGAGGCCCAGCGGAACTTGTTCCGGCCGCACGTCTCGGTCAGAACGAACGCTTCTGCAGCGGCAGGAAGGGAGGCTCGGGATCCGGGCCTGGGGTTCCGCGGCCGC